TGGCATTATCTTTCCAGGAAGGATTCTGTGACCACACTTCATCTATCTTCACAGTAACGTGCAGCATAGAGGTGGGTACGTCTGTGCTGAGGAAGAGCAGAGACCTCAGGTTTTTTATGGTGTGTTTGAAAAGTCTCCTTACCTGCCCCTAAGCCCCAGCTTTTTTCCACACTGTATGAATGAGGCGTGAACAGGAGCTCAATTACAAGGCTGAATTTAGTTCCAAAATGCTGCAACTGACATTCTGAGGACTGCATGAGTGCAATGTTAGACTGCAGAGATAGCATCCAGCAGAATTAAAGCTTGTGTTTTTTTACAGGGAGGGTGATAACATAAATTGCCTTTTACGTTTAAAGTGTGATTTGCTAGGGTGATTTTCTGCATTTGTTATTTTGATTTGTAAGTTTGACTTGGGAGGCTCTCAACTGAAATAATTTTTATTATTATTGTTTGCTTGGGCAGATGGGATTTGCACACTTGGAAAGTGAAGTTTCAGACCTTTAAACATTTGTTCTTTCACATATTTATAGTTAAGAGTATCATTAGACAACTAAAACCAGATTAATCCCCATGTTGGCATGATTATTTAAAGTAGAGAGAGGAAAGACGTCTTAAAGGAAATAGAGAGGAAAGAAATGCCATTTTTAGTGAAAGACTGGATATAAAAGGGAAATAGAAGGGTAAGAGTTAACAGTGGTATGTGAGAAACGCTGAAAGGGAAATACAGATATTCAGAGAGGGAGACTGAGATACAGTCCAGAAATCTAACAGAAGTGATTTAAGTTGAGAAGGGGGGCAAAGGGGAAGAGTTCATTGACCACATACTGATGATTATAAATGTAGAAAATGGCTAAAGTGTTTGCCGAAACTCAGCTGAAAGGTCACTGTCTGTCAGGAACGGAAACAGTACCCTTACCCAGGAAAAACATCTGTATCAACAAGATGTTATTTTCATGACAAAAAAAAAGGAATAAATGGTAATATACACTTTTCAGATATTTCCATAGTCTTTTGTCAACAAGTAGCAATGTTTATACAAAAGAGTAAAGCATGGTGGTTTCAAGTTTGGTGGTGTTTTTTTTTGTTTTTGTTTTTGTTTTTGTTTTTTTTCTTTTCTGGAATGTGCTATGTTTTGTAAGTCAATACATTCTCAAGCTGAAGTAAGGTCCCCTGATTCATAGCTTCAGACTAAAATATCCATTTTTATAATTATAACGATAAATTACTGAAATGTTAGAAACTGTGATATTGTAAAATTGGTGACATCTTAATGCTTGCTACTGTTCAGATTCCATTACAACATTTGGACATGAAAATATAGATGACTCCAGACACGTTAATCTATAAAAGTCGTTTCATCTATCCAGAGCTTTTAAGAACTCCAGAGTTATAAACCTGCATTAAACTGGCCTAATTTTATTAGTCCTTATTAGTCTTTCATATTTATTACATTAAAAAAAAATTAATACCTGATCCATTTGATCTTGGTACTTCATCACTTAATCAGAAGTTTGTCCTGTGTTCTTTCCCAGAAGTTTTATCTGAAAAGGGAGAGGAAAAGAGAACAAAAGGAATCTATTAAATAAATTATCAACTATAATTTTCATTTTTTCAATGTAGTAAACACCTTATTATATCAAAAATTATTACCATATCATATTGGATAAATTACAAAAGTTCTGAAAATTCTGGGTTGATCACCTTCAAACTTTTCTACTTGAGGGGAAGGTTTCATACCTCCAAATAATGCAAAATAAAATAATATTTAATGATAATATATTATTTAAATAATATTTAAAAGTATATATTCTATTGCTCAGGCTAATCTGTTTACAAGCTTACTGGCTGCATAAATTATTTCATTCCTAGCTTTTGTTGTCAATGTGATAGCTAGTTATTCTTCCAGAAAATCAGAGACAGACAGAGAGATGTTAAAATTCAAGGGCATCTGGAATTGACACAGATCTGAAGACTGAAAATGAGAATATTGAAAGCAATCCTAACACTAAGCCTTTCAAGATGACATGGTACATATGCAAGATTTCATGCTGATTTTTCAAGCAGAACTAAGATAACTGATTTATTATGTTATTCAACATGAATTAAACAAACGTAAGCAGACTAACATCACATAGTGTAAATAGTACGTCCTCCTGTTAATACAGGTAGAGAGGGGATGCTCTGCATAATTTCTGGTCTCGATATAGTACAACATTGAGAGTACAGAAACTGTTGTAAACTCCTGATGAAATGCAAGCGTAAATGTGATTTACTGCAATTACACTCTCTCCCCACCCTGTATTTTTTGTAGAAGGAACAGGGGTTTTACACAAATAACAATATAAGCTTTTTATTCAGAGATAGTGCAGAATAACTTGTATATATAATTATCACGTATATTTTTATATATTCTTTTAAGCTGTACAGTCTCTCTTTTATATATTTTAAGAATAGTAAGTTAAGATTTGAAATGAAGATGTAAATTGCAAGGAGACTATAATCAAATAACACTTCAAAACTGAAAACAGTGTAAATCTATCAACTACTTAAAATGCAAGGAAGACCTGCTATGCAAATTATGCCACCGCCCTATATTTCTCCACAGATTAATTACTTGCTTAAATGATTTTGTGACAGTACTGAGATAAACAGAACCACATTTTATCATATAGAATGGCAAATCTGTAACCTACAGTAATTATAATAATTGTGATATTTATTGTGTTCTTGTGTATAATACATATTTTTTAAAAAAAGCTATTTTAATGGAAAGCAGAATTGGAGAGCCTGATTACTAGAAAATACTATCAACTGCTTGCATATACTATTCTACTCATCTGCATACCTTCGAAAATTGTTGATCAGTTACTTGCTCTGACATAAACCTTATTGGTGCTTTTAGAAATCAGTTTTATGTTTTCTTTAAATCTTAGTTTTTCTTAGTAATTTACATAATTTATGTCCAGAAGTTTCCATATTTGTAAAGTTAAGAAATTGGAAAAAATGCATTTGAGAAAGTAATTCGTGTTGAATCCTGGCCTTTGTAATGCAGTTGGAGCTTCCTGTTCAGTGCTCTCATTTTCATACTCCCTGCCTTCCCTTCCCTGCCCTGATGGGTTTTATGATTTTGGAGTGTAGCATGCTCAAGAGAAATCCAAGTATCTGCTTAGCCAGAAGGGTTTTATTAGCTCTGCTTTAATGAACTCCTTTCAAATAGTTTAGACATGTAAAGTGAGCATTGCTCCGTTTAGTAGTTTTTTATTTGCACAGTATTATAACATGTACTTTTTATAATCCATACAATTACTTGTTGGAATGCAGTTTTGTTCTGTCTTCACTTGTGCCCTCCTCCTTAATCACAAGTACATATTTTATCTGTTAGATAGTGGCTTAGCCTCTATTCCTGGTTTCAGATTTGGTTTGTCCTTCTCTCACTGCTTCTCTTATGTATTGGGCTTGGATAGAAATTTAAAAGCTTATTTTGGGAGCTTCACCTACAGTTTGTTTTCTCAAGTTTTCATTAAAATTTGCTCTTTAATTGATTTCTTAAGATATAGTATGCTTCCATCAAGCAGCTGACATACAGAAGTGGATGCCTGGATCTTTAGTACTACTAAATGAAGTTTTGACTACGAACCTATTGATCTTAGCTTGACACTGCCAGTTTAGACACTGCTGATTCGTGTAACTACTAATCCAAGTGATGGGAATTGGGTGTTGTGATACTAGCATAAAACTGTATTTCAATGTAAAATTGTCATCCAGAGTTCTACCTGCATTGGATTGCTGAGACAGTATAGTAATAAAGACATTCTGCAGTTAAACTTCATCCTGTTATCCTATTTGGATAATCAATAGCTGGCCTTTTAGGAGAGGACACTAGATGTACCCTGCAAAGTGTGAACTCTCAGACTGCTTCTCATCCTGCCTAATTGCTAAGACGTCTCAACCCATGATGGGGACTGAGTAATTAAAAGTAGCTTTCACTCGGCTTTAGGAACTCTGATATCTAAATATACAAGAATCTAGAAAAGCAAACATGCCCCCTGTCCCCCCCAACTTTCTAGGAAATAATACTCTTTCATTAATAACTCTTTTAAGAAAAGCTGCTTATAACCAGCACTTCATATTAATGCCATCTAAAATTATTTTTGCACATCTGCACACTCTTGTTACAAAAATCTTGCTTTGCAGCTTTGCTTGTTCCACTTCTGCACCCAATACAGTCTCTATAATTTAACATCCTTCCAACTTCTGAAATAATTTCAAATAGATTGTTCTAAGCACATTGCTCTTCCCATGCAAGTTAATCTTACCTCTTTTAGAGTTGAAGATGTTTGATTTCGCATTCTCTTTAATAAAGAAAAGTCCTGACAATTTTTTATGTAGAGATTATGTCAATCCATACCAGACTGGTGGAAGTCTTTCTTTTCATGTCCCCCTTGGAACATAAATGGTGGGTTTTATCCTTCAGAGTATTTTTGTACACACATATTGTTGATCAAGATACCTGACTGACTATATGAAAAAGTGCATCAAAGCATTCAGAATTATTTAGTTGTACATTTTACAATACAGGCTGTAATACTAAACAAAAGGCATAATTGGCATTTTCACTTTCATACTGATAATGTTGAATAGACATTATTTTATATTCTTTAGGAAAGCTAACACGAAATAAAATAAAAGGTGAATATATTGTAATGTGAGTACTTGCTGCAGTCCTTTAAATGTAGTCCTTATCCTTGACAAATGTAAAGTATCTCCAATGTTTTCATTAGTTATTAATTGTATTTTGTTTGCTAGTTTCATTCTGGACACAGAAATACCACTGGGTCTTGAAACAGTAAGTCTATTTCAAACGACCTATGTAACAGGTATGAGAAAACATCTGTAGTTTTTCTTGCATAAAAGTGCTTTCTCTTAACTGCCTTCCCCCTTTAAGAACTCTGGTAATAAAGCTGAATTGTAGTTCCTTCCTAGAGGCAGATGATTAAACATTCTCACCATTATATAATACAATTTCCATTTTATTTTAAACATACTTTGCATGATATAAAAATATTGATCACAGTGAGCTTTAACAATTGTTACTGCTATAAACAGAAATGCTGCACAATGGTTTTAGTGGAAATAAATTATATAGTCATTATCTCTTTTTAAAAAAAATCACAAGAAGGAAAACCTAGGCTTGTTTGGTCATTGGCAGAAAATAAGTCCTTACTGAGTTCTTTACAAAACATGAACCCCAGTTATTTTCTACATTTGCTTTCCACATCTTGAGAAAAGCACAGTGAGTCTGTCTCTGAAAGCCCCACAGGGTCTCTGGTGAACATTTAATTCCAAATATTAGCAAAGTTTCTGTTGTTCGTTTGTTCTAATGGAAAAATGTACACCAAAATAGCAAGCAGCGCTCTCTTCACTAATTCATAAGTGGTCTTTTCCAATATGTGGGTACACAGCGGCACACTTCTTCACTAAAATAAAATCCAGCATCACAGCGTTTCGTTCGGACTGTACATGGCGGTCTGTAACAACTAAAAAATGAAAAAAAATAGGGCATTAATATAACATAATCATTTATATTAACCTGGAGTAGAAATCTGTACATTTAGATTGCCATTTCTCAATGGGATATTTAATTCCTACAAATCTTTTAACTTCTGTGTATATGTTCTTGCAACTACTTTTAATTGGTCTAATCTTCACAAAAGACAATGAAAGAATAATAAGTGCTATTGAAGATAAATGATTCTATTTCAACAGATACTCATGACTATTTTTAACATACTACCTGGTTGCAGTCACGTTCTAATATTTAGTAGTATTTTTAAAAATTTAATTAACATTAATTTTAAATATAATTAAATTTAATATTTTTTCTTTACTTAAATTGCCTTGTTATGACCTGCTGGATGTGGCCAGTGTGAGTTGGCAATCCAGAATCATCAGGTGATGATCAAATTTACCATCTTCTTAGTCAGGACTGTTTCACACTTTATTCACTAGTGCAATAACCCTGAGAGAGATTTGTTTATGTATGTTCCACTATGGCTCTGATCTTGAAAATGAGAATGTACTTCCTTCAAGTTGCAAACTCCCACAGGCACTCTCTGAGGCCAGTGGGGATACACCTACACTTCGCATTGCATCTATCTATGCAATGGATCAGAGCCTGCATGTTCATGATAAACGTGAAAGGAAAAAGAACAGAAATAGTCCCTGTTTGATTAAAATAAGTTTAACATAAATAGAGCATTAAACCAAAAGTCGTATCTACCTAAAACACAGCAGAATTTTTCTTCATAGATTCCTTGACTGAAAAATAGAAGTTTTATAAAGATAATATCTGTGGTTGTCCCTGAACTCTTCCTTTTCCTATTTTATTTTTCTATTAAAACAAGAACTTGACCTAAAATAACCTTACAATAACAATGCTAAATACTTTCTGGTGTATAATGGAGACAAAGTACAAGTCTGGGGTTTTTTTTTCAGATGCTGGCAATGAGTCAGAAGACTAAAGTATATGTTTCGAATGTCAACACAGTTCTACCTAAAGTGTGTATTTAAATAATGTGTGCATGTTTGTGAAACACTGGTATTATGACCTATTACTATAATTCATACTTACTTCACTTCAAAGACACTACAGTACGCTATATTAAGGCAATGTCACTATCCACTTCCCTAGGCAATTCTTGTTTCAGGCTTGTGGCTCTTCCTGTTAGTGTTGCAGATAAGTTAATATGGTGTGTGCTTGTTTTGGATACCAAGTTACCACTTTGCAATAATTTGTTTATGATATGAAGTCTGCATTACAGTTACATTAATTCAAGCCAGCTAGTTCAACCAATAAACTTGGCTATGAGGAAAACAATAAGGAATGAGGAAGGCCTCAAAGATGACATTTATTAACTAGTCACATCTCGTTCAGTGCTTTCAATGTTATTAATCACAGATTATCTCACCAGTGTGGTCTCTGTAATTTAGTGCCATGCTCATGGAAATCTCTCAAAGCCCTATGCATCTTTTGCCCAATAAATTTTGGAAACATTGATAAAAGGAAACAAAAATCACAGTGTCACTTGAGAAAGCAAGTGAACTTTATTGTCTTCCACGTTTGCCAAATGATCTGATACTTCCAGCAAATGGGCAAGGAGCAGGAGGTTCGTTCTGAGAAAAAAAGTACTCCATAGAGATGTAACAGATGAAACACTAAACTCACTTGCCTTTTTGCCCACCTCTGCCATGAAAGTTAGACTATTTCACGTACTGAATGACCATGGAATGAAATAAGAAAAAGATAAGGGAAAAAAAAGACAAAGCCAAGCTCTTCCCCCCCCCATAACGTTGCACAAAATGAAAACCAGTCATGTAATCATTAAATATGAAGAGTTCATTTGTGCCTCCTAGTGAATGGTGAACTTCAACTTAACTTACAGTTGAGACAGCCATAAAGCATCAATCCCATGTGAGTTTGTCTCTAGCAGCAGTCAAGGTCAGGTTACCACAATTTTATCCTTTTGTGGAACATTTCAACAGAGCAAGAAAGTCCCTCTCTTCCTCTAAAATGCTTTGCAGCGGAGGTGCCTAGTCATCTGGCCTTGCCAAATCTGAACAAAAATAAATTTTTGAGGTGACTGATTGATAGCAAAGGGTGAATAGTAGCAGAGTCATTGTAACTATATAAATGTGGTTTCCCTAGGAAACTGCTGAACAATAGACCAGGTCTTTCAAAAGATTTAGGCTGAATGTTCTTTAGGGAATGTTTCTATGTAACAGATGTCTGCTTTGATGAGGACAATCTGAGCAGGCTGGAGCTAAGACAGATGTTCAGTCAACATGTACAGTACTGGGTGAGTCAGTGGCAACTTTCTCTTTATGGTCAGTAATTGGGATTTTTTGCTCCTGTATGCCCAGGTTTGTCATTTTGGGCAGTCCTAACAATTCCACAGATGAAAATGAAGTAGAAATATTACTTTTAGTGGTGGGAACAGCATAATCACCTTAAAAGCCAGTATGCCTTACAGTGTTGTGTGGTTTTTTTTTTTTTTCTTCCCTTTTTCTTCATATCCTGTGCTTTGTAAATGACTTTGTATTCCTTTCCTTTGGTGCAGGGTATAACATTAGCGGCAGAGGTATTTTAGGTAGTGCATAAAGATGTTGGTGCTTTAAACCTACCATGACTACTTCTCTGCACAGGGAGCTGTCTAAGGCACGGCTACAGGATTCTGCTCATGTCGAGGTCTCGGGCATCTTACATAAAGTAAGATGTAGTACCTCCTTCTATGTGGTCTCATAACAGCAAGGGATCTTTCTTTCAAAGACAAACAGGATGTTGTGGGGTTTTTATTCCCTTTAGAGGAAGCTCGTGGTGGACAAAGCCAAAATAAGAGAAACCTATGCTAGGTCCTTTCTTAAGGAGGAGAGATTGCATCTTTTTTTCCTTGACAGTTCTAACATCTCCAGGGCTATTGGTTGCAGAGCTACAGAGTAACACCACATAACAAATCTTCCTTTCTCCACACGAAGAACTGCTTAGAAAAGAGAAACAGCCAAAAGCATTGAAAGATTTAAACTCTATCATATTCAACCACAACACCACAGAGAAAAGCTGGGCTCAACTCCCTTCTTCAAATATTAAGTCTTTAAATCAACAGAGGTGGTATCAGATTTTTTTTATGCCATTTTTAGCTTTTATAATGGCCGACTTTTTTTAGTTGTAAAAGTTCTTTTAAAATACACGTGGATTATATGTGTGGCACTGCTGAATTGTACACCACAGTAGCGCTAAGGCTTTGTAATGTGCTCATGTAATTAGGCTAGTTCCCTTTCCTCTGCAAACATAAAACTGAAGTAAAAACTGAATAATAGCGAAGAAAGTATTTCTTATGTTTCTAACGACTCTTCTACCCCACTCAAAAGGCCAAACATAGGAAAACAGGTAATGCCAATATTATTAATCTTTTCCCCTAGTTTAGAGCTCAACAGAGGTCTCATTCCTAATATTAGGCATTTTTCCTTTATTCAAGATGAACTTTTATATACATATATATACATATATTTGGCAATACATCTATGCCAACTAACTAGACACTATATCAAAAAATACATAAGGTTTGTTTTTGATAAGCAACAAATTACCGTAAACATTTAAATGTCCCAATTTTCTATTTTCCACTTCCAGTGCCTGAACATTTCTGTAACTGTTATTTGTCATTAATATAATAGAAATAATTACCATATATTAATAAATAAGTGATCTTTCTTCTCCAAATGGCATTGTTTCTGTTTTAACAAACTCACCTTACAGGAACACTTTTGTCAAAAAATATACAAAACAGAAATAATACTGTTTGTTTCTCAGAACATTTCATTCACATTTTTATAGATAGACTGCTACTGCTATGGGTGTAGCAGTTGTGGAAGCAAAAGCATCTGTAATATATAAAGAAATTGTCGAGTTTTCCTCCTGATCAAATCCATTTTAAATGATGAATGGGGGTGGTCTGTTTTATAGCTCTATGTGTCTACTTTTCACAGAAATCACCCAGAGCCATAAGACTTTTTATGCACTCATAAATTTTTAGTATCAGTTGAGTGAAATGAAGGATATGCAAAAATTCAGGAAGTGAAAATGAATGATGGTATCTCCAGATCTAACCCCTGAAATCTGATTAGGAATATTTGAGTTATTTCAATTGCAGTATTCAGTTCTTAGGAAAAATAGAGTGGTATTTTAAGTAGCATAAAAAATGTGGAGCTTGAATTTACAGCTCATTTTCATCAAAAGAAAAAATAAATCACATGAAGTAGTATTAAGAGTACAATAAACTAAACATGCTTTTAAATATTCTGCCCAGTAGTTTCCTCTTAGAGATGACAAAAGTCATAGAAGAGAAAACTGAATTGAAGAGGGATTTACTGTTTAATTAAGGCTACAAAGCAATCCAACAAGGCAGCTAATGACAACACAATGAAAGGGCTAAAGACTGAGTTTTTACCTGCATGTCTGGTGGTGGAACCTTTTTCCTTTTAAGAAGCATTTATTGGGAGATTCTATACATTCACAGATGCATTTTGCAGGATTTAGCGGCTGGTGTTTAGGACAGGTCTTTTTACATACACACTGGCATTTATCTTCATCAAATTCCTTGTTGGGCCCACAGGAAGCAGGGAGAAGTTTGTTTTTGCACATGCACTGACATGATGATCTGTCTAATTCTTTGTGAGGTCCACAGCTTGAGGGCCGCACGCCTCCTTTGCAGACACATTGACAGGTTTCTTCATCCAGCTCTTTGTTTGGTCCACAAATGTGGAATCCTTCAGATGTGTCTAGAAATACAGCAGAGAAATTGCACAATTATCAGAATTTTGTCTCTACCCACACCATATTTCCAAGTGAAAAAATGGTATAGAATTTGGAGCTTTTAAGGTGTTTTAAGAACAAACATATGTCAAAAGACAGGGAACAACCAGTAACAGTATTGATAATGAGTCAACTATTTACTTTTTATGTTTTTAATTTCTCCTTTAGGTAAATCAAAACAAGGCACTACATTTAATCGTTTAGGGAAAACTGCTTACCAGAATCTCCAAGATGAGAAGAGAAATCAAAATCATGCTGCGCCAAACATCTGCAAATTTGATTATTCCAAATATGGTTTTTTGGACAGGTCTTGTTTGCAACATGACACCTATAGAATTAAATATACTGTTGATTTACTACCATAAGAACTCAAGAAAAAAAACAATTTTAGGTGCTAATTGCTTTTATTTCCCTCCACTGAAAAACACTTTGAAAGAGCTTCAGCTCATTCATAATCTTATTTTTAACTCCTATAAAGTCTGTTACTAATTAAGATTCTCCCCACTACAGGGACCTTCAAATACTTGTTGAAGATGCCTTCTCACATTTCAAGTTTTATTGCTAACTTCTAGAAACTGATATTTGTACTTTCCTAATGTAGTTTGGAAACAGATCTAACCCTTGAATGTAAGCTTCATACAGCAAATAGACCTGCATAAAAAATATTTGCCTGACAAGTACTGTATAGGTGGTAACTGGCATAATTTTCTGCATTGCTTTTTGCAGCACAAAAATGTTTTCACACATACAGACATCAAAAGGCAGCTGACAAGAGTTTTTGAATGAATGCTGTAGACCAAACTCTAATTTCTAAAGCAAAATTAGATTATCAGATTCCTTTCCCCTTTATGGGAAAGTTATGTGACGTTAACTGACTCCTCCTCATCAGCCATGCAACTCCTGCACAGCTTGCTTGAATCTAAAGATTTGGACTTCAGCAGTGATGACTCTTCACTGTAGAAATGAAAGGCAATGAACAATTTAACAGTTTAATGCTCTTTACCTGCTGGAGTTTTGCAGTCAAGGCAGTGGTACCAAAGAAAGCAAAACATCCTAACAGCAGTTGGTCTCTTTGTAAAGGATAATTTAACTAGTAGGTACAGATGTAATATTTGGGTATTATTTGATCTTCCTTGCTTGCAATTTCTTTTTCAACCTAAGTAACATTATAACTTTAACAAGTCATGCCTAACTTCATGCACCCAGGCTCTCACTTATTCACTGTTTCTGTAGCATTTCTAAAATCCTCACCTGTTCAGACAGCATGTACATTACACATTTTAAGCACTTTCATTCCCCTTAGCACAATTACTCACGCGTTCAAAAATGCAGGTGCTAGGACATTCTTCTGTGATCATCATTGAAGTATACCACTCCCCTTCACCACATTAAATGACTCTCTGCTCATAAAGACTGCTATAGTTTAACATCACCCTGCATCACCTCATGTTTTATCAAGCTGGTGTTTCCTGATTTCGTTCCACTAATGATCTCACTCTTGCTCCCTCACTTGGCACGTATGTCCTTTTGCCTGCCTTCTGATTCTGCTCAAGAAATAGTATGGATAATTTACAGAGGTATTATTGTATTCTGTTTAAAAACAAAAACAAACCTCACACCTGGAGCAGCCTGGTTCTAGCCAGGAATGTTTAAAACTAACTATGGAAGGAAGCCAGGGTGACACTGTGAAGAAAACACCAAGTGCACATAAAGCCATGAGAAGACAATGTTGATACAAAAACCAAGTTACCAAAGAACTTGAAGAGAACAACGTATATTTCAGCACCAGTGTTAGAGACACCCAGCAAAAGGAACTGGAACTGCTTATTTACAAATTCTACTCCGTTTGCTAGTACAGAAAATTACAGGGGAGTATGGCTGAAATTTTAATATGACTTATGGTAACATTTTAGCAAAGTTCAGGAAGGCTAGAAAGAAAAATCAGAGGCAAAAACACTTTGCAAAAAAATTCACTACCTGTTGCCAAATCATTGTCAATGCAACTGAAAAAAAAAAAAAAACAAACAAAAAAAACCCCAGCATGCTAACTTGTTACCTGTCAGTATGAGGACAAATAAGGCACTGTTCTGATTTTGACCCTGACAGCCAAACACCACAACAACCGCTTGCTCACCCTCCCCCCGACCCCTCCTGTGGATGGGGGAGAGAATTAAAGGGGTAAAGGGAAAAGAGGCTCACAGGTTGAGATAAGAATAATTTAATAACTAAACTACAATAGTACTGGAAATAATAATGCACATCTTGATGACATTCTATATAAACAGAGTACAACTTAAGATACCATTAATCCAGGAGGTATTCTGAAACACTAGTTAACGTGAACTGACATGCCACAGCTCCACAAATATGTAGAGGTATCTACTAACTTTTAGAAGGAAAAAAAGGAAAAAAGTGGGAGAACAGGAAAAGACCTAGACCTTAATTCTCAGGATAAAGTTGTGCAGAAAAAAAATATTTTATATAAAAAAAAGATCAAAGTATTCTATCTTACATGTCATTTATCTCTTCTTTTTAACATGTGCCTGTATATTGTGGCATAATAAAGCCTTGAATTCTTATTAGGCCCCAGGTGTTACTACAATAAAAACAGAGGTTATACTCCTAGGCTTTTCTTTTCAGTAATACATAAGAAAATCATTGCTGTATGTCTGCTAAAATGAGCATGTACATAAATACATGCACGCATGCAGATCTGCCACTGTGACAAGAAAGTACATTTACAAATTTTGGCTTTACAACAGTTTGTCGAGCATTCAAACCTATAAATAAAAACGTTAAGGAAAAATAAAAAGTTGAAAAGAGACTGAGAACTTTAGTACATATTAAAATCCCCAGCGTGATTCTGAAAAGCACCCAGGCACCTACCAGGAACATGCAAATATCTTTACTTCCCCTTCTGGAATCTAGAAGCGCTCAGCTTGGGTTTTGGGGTTTTTTTTCTGATTTTTGTAAAAAGCCACAGATTTTTAAACTTAAAGACAGCACCTAACAGCAGAGAAGGCCTGTATATATTCTGATCTAGTACTACTCTGTTTTACCTTTGTCGAAGCATGATTCCTTAACTGACAGGACAGCCAGCTACCTGGGACTGCTGGTCTAGTAACTGTGCGCTTATTTCCCTCTAACTACACATAGCTGTTTCCTCGCTGGAATAAACTCTTGCAGAGGTAATTACAACTGCTCTTAATCTGGGAGCACTAAGAAAAATGCCAACAGTCAGCATATTTTGACTTTATTATTGACTCTTGGCTTTTGATTTTTTATAATCTGTTAATTACGCAATTAATAAAACTAGTAATAGATTTATTTCCTAATATTTTTCTAATGCACTGTTCATGATCCATGTTTTGATGAACAAATTCAATAATTTGAATTAAAACAGAATATAATCTGTGTTAAACTGGAACATGTCAGAAAACATACAGACTTTAACTGAATGAAAACACAGAGAAAATGACCTATCTTACATCTCTGGGCATATTGCACTATTCACTCACCTTATTAAAAATGTCTACAATTAATTCAAGTTCAGCTGCTAGTCATTGGTTCTTCCATAAAGCAAGTGTTAGTCTGTCACATAGTTTTTGCCTACTAAATATTTATACATCATGAAATCATTAGTCCTCTAAAATGAAGGGAAGGATTTCCTCAAGTGTTTTAACAACAATTGCTTTACTGCCAGATTACTTCTGTGACTTTTTTAATTCAAAATTGCTAAACAAATTAACATGCTAATTTAGTGGACTGTTAATTAACTAATTAACCCTTTATTTCTCCTTGCCATTTGGTTTTATTTTTACTTCTGGCATATGAAGACATCCAAAAAGATTTGTAGTCAAAAATTCCCTAAAAACAGGCGTTTTTTAAACAGTTTTTTTAAGAGGGCAATACAGTTGGAGAGAGAAATGTTGTCTATTTATTTGTAAAAGTAAGTATTTTTGGGTTTTAATTATTTTTTTAAAAAATAAAGTTTATTTTATTTATGTTTCCTTTAAGCTTCAATTGCGTTGTAGCTCTTTTCATGAAACAAACCCCACAAACAACATCATTCTCCATTTTTAAATGGCCTAGCCCCAATTTATCCCCTGGCTAAAAAGGTACAGTGCTAATTACTTTAGTAACATCCTCTCCATGTAAAACAATACTAGCTCCTTTGCAAAATGCATTCTGCTACTACTAATGTGTACCAGTTCACCTATCTGAATTGTGAAAGCTTCCAGCAATATTTTAAATCTAATTATACAGGCTTGCTCATAACATGAAAAGAAAGACAAGGCTCATACTTACTGAGTTTGTGTTGCTGGCAAGGAACGTCTTATGATAGAATGAACTTGTCTGTAAACATCCAACTTCGACATGCATCGGCAGGACGTGTGATTGGCAAAACTGATGGTTACAGGTTTGGGGCCATGAGAGAGAGGCACTGTGATTTCAAACAACTATGAAAGGGAAAGCAAAGCAAAGAACTTTTTTTATTGACCAGTAACAGTACAACTGAAATAATATAAAGACATACAAAAAAAAAAAAGCTCTGAGGAATTTGAGTTTTTGTTCTCTACAGTCACTCAGCGCTATTCAATTATACCACTAAAGAATCATTATGTGCAAAGTAAATACAATAGCTACTTTATGAGAACATTTTTAGTGTTAAACCCTGTTACGTGCCTGTTTGCTTACTATAACATTACACTAACATTATTAAAAGAGGAAAATGTACAAAGAACACATTTTTGTAGAGGAAACAACTTCCAGTTGGCAGCCTTTTAAAAAATCTAAAATGTAACATTTGGAATGCGCTTTAAAAAGTTAGAAAATGAGAATAATTTAAAAAGGGAGTAAGCTAAGTAATTTTTAGCTGATGTCTATTTGCAATGCTTTTTAATAATCAGTAATTTCAAAGTATGTAATGTAGGCAGCACGTTGCAACTTTAAATTATTCAAACTAATTCAAACTAATACATCAGTTGCACGATTCAACTATCAGAGCTTGGGTAAAACAGTATTATATTAGACTTAGATGAAAACATTTTTATATGAACAAGTTTTGAACTGCTGCATACTCTGACTTTCCAGTATTTGTATCAATGCAAATTATATGGTTAGCCTAACAGGATGTATCTTGAACTATTATTTTTTGTCAAGATATTAAGAAATATCCCCTATTAATAAAATAATAATGTATGTGAATGAATAAAATCTTCATTTTAGTGGGAAATGTAGTTAACTGGTGGAAGGGGACAACTTCAGTGATACCTTGTGGAAAAACATGTGACAACAAACAGTGAGACTCATTTCAGTACTCAATTCAGGACACCTACTTTATCAAATTAAGAAGGTTTCACTGTAAGACTCAAAACTCAGTCTCCTGAAAAAATAGTTAGGACAAATACTTTAGGTCTAAGTCTTAAAAACTACTTTTTGGTAGTATTTTTGACAGGATAATAGTGCACTGTTGCCTTTTATGTGCTCAGTCACTTTTCCAAACATATTAAAAATATTTCTGTATCTTCTGGGGACTTTACTACCTTTAAAACATGGCCATTGCTTATTATTCCAGTTTCAGTTGATGAGATTGTATACCAAGACTGTAATTTTTAGCTGATGTCTATTTGCAATGCTTTTTAATAATCAGTAATTTCAAAGTATGTAATGTAGGCAGCACGTTGCAACTTTAAATTATTCAAAACATGAAGTATGTCTACAGGATGTCCTGAAAACAGTCCTTTGCACTGAAATAGGCAGTTATTTTCTGCCTATATTTGTTAGTACTCAGGCTACTGAGTACTAACAAGCTTGCAGATGCAGCAGTACGGGGTGCATTCACCATGTACCTGCAAGGTTAAAGGGTACTTGTGCAGCCAACAATAAAGCTTGCATTATTGCTATATCTAAGCTATGCAACTTAAGCTTAATTGTATAAAGCATCATCAACTCTGATAAGTATTATATATTTTACAAAACAATTTTTGACATCATTTAGTGACTGGATCTTTTAAAAAGTTTAACAGTGAGAGTGTCATCACAGAACTGAAATGGCAAAAGTATTATATTTACATTTTATTCTGTTACAGAAGATTATAATGCTATTATTTTCTCTGCAATAGGTACCACATCCCTTACATTACTTCTAAATGTGGGGGTTTTTTCCCCCCACTAGAATCTAAAAATACAAACTGGTATGTGTTTACTTCTGTAGAAGGAAAACCAAAACAGAAAGTAGTTTCCTGCATCCTTCAAATACTGATGAAAAAAAATTATCCATCTAGAGAGCTACCATGGAAAGAGTTTCTCTTGTTAGAGAGACCTCTAGACAACGCATATGAACCCTTGGTCTTGAGACATTAATAAGATAAGGGCACAAGTCCACGTCTAGTTTAAAGTTTGTTAGCAATAAAATTAATGTCTAATTATCACCAGACATACCTCCAGGGTTTTCCTAAGTTCAACACAGACTTCCGGAAAGACACTTTCTAATCAACTTTCATTTATAATAATTTTTGGTTTCCAAACCAATATTGGCTCCTTTACCCTTATCTATTACAAAAGTTCCTTTAAATTAATCACAAAAAGGGCATTCTTACCAAGATGCCTCATTCAAAAAGAGCAATAATCATACCAGAAAGCTACGAATTTCATACTAATATGTTATATGAAAATAGCTTTATGTACTTATGCATTTCTTTTAAAAACATCCACCTATTTGAAGGCTACCATAGGTTTAGTTATAACGCATAAATAACTAGGAAATTGGAAAGGAGGAAGGTAGTGTTGCAGAAAAAGAGGCAGAAAGAACCACTTTTATGAAAAATAGCTTTCATTTCTGCGTACAGTACACATTTGAGAAAATACATGCTGAGTTCTTTGGGTATCTGTTTTTTAAATACTGATCTTTTGTATCTTTTTTTAAACAAGTTATGCCTTCAGAAGGACAGCAACAACTGTTGAGACGTCTGAAAATCTGGACAGCTAAGAATCTGCAGATGCAAAAGCCTCTACTATATTAATCTCATAAGAAAACTGACTCTTAAAAGGCACACATGAATTGAGGGGCAGAAGAAAGTGTATGGACTGAATTACAGTACATATGTAAAGAGAATCTTGTTTGCTCTCTTATGATAGTACGAACTTGCTTTTCCAAAGCTGAAGCAAAACCCCACTAGAGAGAGAACTGATAAAACTCAGTAACTGAAGAGAAGTGTGATTGTTTGCATGGACCAACTGCAGCTGCCTAGAAAAAAGGGCACGTTCTGTTCTTCCTCTGTTCTTGAAGCAGGTCAGTTCGCCCTGATTCAAAGTATAGCAGACTCCAGACTGCTGGGGGTGGCAGTTTAGGACTACTGCTACAATTCCAAAACACCTGAGGTCCCCATCAGCCCAACTGTCCTCCTGTTCACCTTCAGGGGTGCACTGAGAGAAATTTCACTAAAACACCTGAGCCGTGCCAATTGTGAGTGGAAATGATGGTGAATATGAACTATCTTAATCTACACTTCTCCTTCCATTTAGACTGTGAAAGGGATCAGTTTAGAGACATATATTGCTAACAACGCTTCAGTGGTGCAATGCAAAAAAAAGCCTAGTTAAACAATGGAAAGGTAGACTAGCTTCCTTGACCTCACTGAATTACCTTCAGGTTGTTCAGCTAAACTCTCTTAATAGCAACGTATTTTACATCACCCAGTAGTAGCTACTGTTTATACAACAAGCCAAAAAAAACTAAGACAACTATTTACGTTAGAGATTATATTATATTTGGTAATACATTTTTAGCCCTCACTTTTGGAAAATGCTTAAAATGATACATGAACTAGCATTTTGAAAAAGAACATAAACCAGCTCTATTTTCATTAATGGAAATGATGGAAGAGAAATACCAGGGTTGGAATTATTGATTGGTTCCTTCCTACACTTTTGTCTGCACATACTATTATGATACTGTATTCTGAAGTATCCTAAAAAAGGAGATATTTATTCTTCTCTTCTTATAATTAAAATACATCAAGAAGAGATTTCACAAGAAATACATTCTTGAAAAATAATGTTACAGAAAATGTATTTAATGCTCAGAATAGCTCAGTTTAAATAATCTCTGTCATTTTAAAATAAAATCAATTCCAAAGAAAATCTATGTTCTCTCAGCTGTGATAGCAGCATCTCTAAATCATAGAATGGTTTGGGTTGGAACAGACCTTAAAGATCATCAAGTTCCAACCCCCCTGCCATGGGCAGGGACACCCTCCACTAGCCCAGGT